TGAGAAATTCATATTTTTGGCGAAATAGAAGATTCTGGTTGATCGAATGCTATCCAGATATTAGGGTCTTTTTTTTTGAAAAAATAAAATATCTAAATAGTTTAGAAACAGCAGATTTTTTAAAAAATATTTCCACACTTATCGCAACTTGGAAACTTATAGGCAAATTATCATACCTTTCCTGTAATAACATTAAGTGAGGGAACGAAAAATTCATCGGAAACGACGGATATTGCAATAAACATATAAATGAGACCAAAAAAGTGCAGAAAAAGTGCTCCACGACGACGTTGCTCTAATGTAAAATAATCTTTCGGAAAAAAACTGGAATTTGACCCTAGAAACTGAAGTTTAATTTTCTAGGGTTGGTCATAAAAGCATAATTTTTAATTACTTAATATAACAGCAAAAATTAACCACTTGAACTAATCGGTGAACGAAAACAACGATCGGTGGTCTCTACGTTGAGTAGTCGACGAAATTTGAACATTCGAAAAAATGGCGAATTCTTTGCAACCAATAATTCACGATTACTTTTTAAAGGAGTAAGAAGTTGATACCAATTAGTACTCATATTCTTCGATTTAAGCAACCTGAATTTGAAATTTCAGATGAACTTTTGAAAAGAAAGGAATGAAATAATTTTTGGACCAGTACAATTCAAGAGATGGAGAAAAATTTTTGAAGAAAATTAATTTTTTTCATTGGAAAAAAACAAATTCTGAAGTCTGAATACAATCCTCAATTAGAATCTTCCTAAATCAGCAAAGTCTCCAGAAATTCCAGTTTTTCCGAAATTGGTGTTTTAAATAAGCTCTGAGTTAGCACATTTTGGCCTTCGACATGGAATACTGTACAGATGATGTGTGTTGTTTGACTTAATTAGGTTCACTTCTTACTTATCGATTCAACAATTACCTCCGTCCTTTGTTCACCTTATCGCCTATTCTGACTGGAAAATTAAGCGAATATTTGTCAACCAACAGTTGTTTATTTGCATTTAAGATGTGATCAATTCCATAAATATATGACACGGCGCAGAAAATAACGAGTAGAATCAGTAGAAAACAGACGGAATGAAATAAAAGTGCTGATAAACTTTTGTTATTATGCAAGCGCGCCATAGAATATGTGAAACTTATTTTTGATCTTTAAAAGTTCTCAAAAGATCTTCCATATCTGCAACTTAAGACGATTGCATTTGCTTGTTCAATTTAACAACTTTGATGTTTTAATTTTTTTTTTAAATTATTAAATTCTTACTGCTTCATGAATTAACCTAATTTCTTTTATCACACTTTGAATAAAATACTGTTAAGTTAAAAAAATTTTTATATTATATATAAAATTAAAGTTGAAGATTTGATTGCCTTTGAGATTTCTAGAAAAATGAAGAAGCTAATATGTAGTAGTTTATTTTTTTTTAACTTTCAAATATTAAAACTTTTGCGTCAAAGAAGCTAAAAAAGTGTCTGCATATAAACATAAATCTTAGTCTAAAATTTGTTCATAATTTGTTTAACTGAACAAAGTTTACCTTTCCCAAAAATTCAATTTCAAACTGAGTATTTAAAAGTTAAAGGAAGTGGAAAGTTCAAAATAATTGCAATAAATAAAAATGTAAGCAGTAATGATCGTATCTAAAAATAATGGAGTAGAAGGTAAGAATTATAATCAACTTTCATTATATGAATTAAAAAAATGAAATGTACTAAATTGGATTCTGAGACTGATAGTAAAATCGTTAGTTTAAGAAGAAAGCAATTTCTATAATTGTTTCTTTTTTTTTTTTTTTCATTTCTGGTAAAACAACCAATTTGTCTATATTTTGTTGGATGACAAATAATAACATATTAAAACGATGAATGGATTTAGTGATGTGTTTATGATTTTTTTTTTGTTTTTTTGGTTTCGAAATTTAATTAGGCTACCACTTATCAGTGAGGGACTGTGTAGACTGTATGGTTTATAAATAAAATATGGTTTTTAAGTTCTTCATGAATCAAAAGAACTTCATGAACTTCAGGAAATTTATGATGGTCTTTTAAAAAAATCTTGAGTTGTTGGTTTTAAAAAAATCGAATGATTTAAAGGAAAGATAATAAGTTACAAATGTTTCAAAAAACCTACTGGTAAAGTTTTTCCGAAAATTCTGAACATATTTGTAAATAAAAAAAAATTTTCTCCTTACTGCTTCAGCTATCGTTATTGCTAAGATGATGATTAGTTAATCTGAATGTATATTTTCTAATTAACATAAGTGCTGTTGCTAACGTAAGCGTCATTTTACTGATTGATTAGCTTATTTATCATAAATGATATCTCTTCATCACTCAACTTTCGCTGATGCAGGCATAACTTTAAAATGACAAGTTGTTAGGTAAAGAGAAATATCAATAGTAAATTATCTAAGAATTACTTTATCAGATTTCTGGCTTTGTTAAGACATTCCATTCTATTGGATTGGCTATTTACAAGCAAGAAAAACCAATTTAAAGATTAAAACTAATTTTCAACCAAGGCCTATTTTTTGAAATCTTTACAATTTCAGATGAATCGATGAAAAAATCTTTTAAAAAGAAATTCAATTGAAAGCTAAAAAATCTAATAGCCAATCAAATATCAATAAATGAATGGCTTAGCAATCAAAACTTGACATTCAATACAAACATAAAGTTCAAGAAGTAACAGCAACGCTTTATTTTTTTACTCATTGTATGCTTATTTAAAAATGAAATAAGTTAGTGATCCAAATTACGCTGGGCAGTTTACCCCTGAAGTTTACAAAGTAAGTCATATTGACAGAATTACATTGGCTATAAACAAGCTACCTAAATAAGCCAGAAACCTGAAACGTGTGAAATAGAAATAGTATTGTGATCGAATTAATATACTTGGTAATATCAATGAGAAGGCTTAAGTACATTCAGAGATTGTCGGAAAACCGAAGAAAATCATAATATGTTGTTGCAGTAAAGATTTTTGTACAAACTATTTCTTAAGATAAAGGATTATTCACATTAAATAAGAATAAACTACAATGTTTCCAATATCCATCGATGAATATATTATCTAATGTAAATCGTATGACGTAGTTACATACATTTGGTGTGCTAATCATGTAAACCCAAATGCATATCCTATATGAAAAGAAGTTTTTATCTTTTCTACCAGTCCTATTCATTATTTTAGATATTTACACATATTCCAAAATTGTATTTTTTTTATAGCCCAATTGTCTCTTGTCTGCAATACATAAATATCCTAGTCAAGCGTTTTGAGCATTAACAAAAATCTTTTAAATCAGATTTTGCTGCACTATCTTTTACTGTACTTTTATTCTGTCATATATTTCTAAGCTATTACTCTGCAGTATTATCAATAAGCTAATATTCCGCTGAAATTTTCAGCAAATTTTCATTACTATATTTCTGTTTGATCTACAGAAAGAAACTACTCAGATTTTGCACTATGTATCAAGACTGTGCTAAGCCAGTAAGTTTAACTCCTTATATGGTGACTTGCAACGAAGCGCATTAGAGTGAGTAAAGTGTTGTCACTCGGTGATAACATTTACTCTTTTTATAGTGAAATTTGATCTATAACATTACTTCTAGAGGTTAACTTCTAGAGGTGACTGTCAGGCTGGAACACCTCTGCAATATTTCTACATTGCAACAAAAATCACAAAGAAAATTAATTGAACAAAGAGCTGATAACCTTTTAACCATCAAATATAAGTTTGATTGTCAGAGCAGTTTACAGGCTATAACATTTTAGACAATGCATTAATTAAGATGAGTATTAGATAAATGATTTCTTACTTGAGATCCAAAATGCTAAGGGCTATTTTAATAAAAATTATCCTTAGTCTACAAATTTCTATCTTAAAGATTTAACACAGAATTACTTCGATATATTATAAATTTATTTCATTTTTTTTCCACATTTTTTCCTCAAATGACAATGAGCTAACATTAAGCGCTAAGATTAAATCTACATGCAGCAATTTTTGGCAATCTTCAATTGCTTAAAGCATATCCTTAAGGCAGTATATCGTCTCAGTTAGCGATCTCAAGAAAGAAAATAATGATAAGTAAAACTTCTTCATCATCCTCTTTTTACTTATCTTCTTCCTTTTCTCTTACTATCATCTCGTCCATATCATTTAAAAGTAACTGTTATCTGACATCAAATGGTAATGAGCAAAGTCATAATTTACACTTATTTTTTTTTGAACTAATTCACGAAGAATATTTGTTTATTGCAATGTTTCGAAATTATTTGATTTTTAGGATTTTCTTTTTTTGGCATATAGTTTGAAAAGAAAGTGATTTTTATTTCTTTTTTCCTGGTCTTTTTCCTTTGCCGATATTTAAAGCTTAACGATGCTTACATCGAGGTCAAAATACGCATTATTGCATCTCGATTTTTTTTACAAAATCTTTTCGAACAGTTATCAATGTTAACTACCAAAATTCAGGGAATTTTATAAGAGTCCCTACAAATCCTAGTCCTGCGGGAAATTTATTCACATCTCGGGTAGGATAGGAAGTTTTACAACGACTAAATCATAGTGACGCAGCTCGAACCGCAGGTTCGTGCGTGGATTGTTAAAATCCATTCCGCATCGTTCAATAACAACGATGAAGTTTATGCAACTATTGAGGTCGAAATGAAAATCATAATCTCGCCTTCACATGAAGGGAAAATTCGATAAAAAACCTTCGGCCTACACAGATAACAGTAAGTTTGAAATTTTTATCTAAAATTTACTTCACAAAAGAAACCAAACAAACATCTTAAATGTTCTTAACGTAAATGTGCACCCAGTTTGCTCTAGTTAGGAATTAAACAATCTTATGATATTTCAGGAGTTTTACTAAAAGAAATTTTGTTCTGCACTTATTTGTACTAAAGTAGTGCTAGCTTCCTGAAGTAAATGATTCAAAAATTAAGAGGGACAATAGTTTACTATCCGTGAAATAGCCGGAAAAGTGTCATCTGTACGAACTGATTAAAATGATAGCAGCTAAAAGTACACTTAAAATCGGTATCATAAGTATCACTGCTCTGATAGCATAATTAAAGCGCACTTCATCAATTATTTCATACCTGACCACAGACTCCTGCAAAAGTTTCTTTGTTTTTTCTTCTGGACTTTACATTTCATTTGAATAAGCTATTTGTAAGGGAAATATCGACTGATGTCATCTCTTTGATCATCATGACAAAACATTTAAATTAAAATTCCCCGGTCAGAGCGTTGTTATCAAACTTTGTGTTGTTTTCTAAATCTCTTGAATTATAATTAACATTTGAGATTTAATTATTTGGCAAAAATTGCAATGAAACTAAATTGGATTTATGTATCACAACATTAATTACAGAAATCGAATAAGCTTTGGAATTGTAATCTGATACCTTAAAAATATTCATTCCTTTCTTTGATTCAACAATATTTTCATACAGCGTTAGCACAAATTTTTTGAAATTCGGGTTTTTATATCTCTTAGCATCCATATAACCACTGCAATTTAAAAAGAAAGTCATAGTTTGCCAGATGATAAAAACTTGGTATCGTTTCAGATTCAAACCTTTATCCTTTTCTAATTGTCTTTCTCACCACAATAAAGTTTCACTAACTAAATGAAGTTTAGCAATAAAAAAGTTCCGTGATAAAATTTAAACCTTGAAAGACTTCTTTGGTGATGTTTTTGATGGCACAGACAGAAAATTATTTGAAAAACAGCTCGAAAAAAAACATATTCTCATAATGTACATATGACATAATATATTTTATACGTAACAGTATTACATGAATTATTATTACTAATAATATTTATATAATAATAATAAATAATATATCACAATCATTGTCTCGATTGCTAAGTGTTTGAAGATTCTGCTGATGTCAACAGAAAGCTAAAAATGATCCAGAGTTGATGCAGCTGAAGATTTCACTTACCTTTCATCAAATCGCGCGATACAGTACCATTTCGTTTGATTGACTATTTTTGTTTGATACATAGTAATATAATTAGCCAAGTCTCGCTGTAAAGAGATATTTTCGGAATTTCTTTTATGGATTTCCATGAAAGTCACTGCGTATTTCTTGGATTCAAGCAATCCAATAGTGAGTTGAGCTTTGTTGTTGTAGATATCTGTAAAGAGATATCTGACTATTGAGCCAGTCTATCGCTAACGATTTTGGAAAAGATCGAGCGATATTCTCAGTATCTTATGCATATTATTCGTACATATTCCAATTTGATCACGAAAAACCAGTAACTACAAAAAATATTAAAGTAACTAAAACCTGAAAAATTAACTGCAACAAATGTTTATTAAATTTGTGGTTTATTTTCCCCAAATTGGTTCGTTAAAGCGTTAAAGCGACTAAAAAGCTGATTCTTGCAATAGAAGAGATCTGTTTTCTCTAATTCAAGTTTAATTCAGACTGATATTTTTATTTCTTTCATTTCTTAAATACAAGAAGAAGACTTTATGTATGAAGCCGGAAATGAAATTGTTGATAGTAAGTGATTCTACCACTAAAGACACTTAATCTTTTTGTCTTTACTTGGTTACATAAACTTGGTTTTCGTATCCATCTCATACCCTGACCAAGTGACCATGCCGTTACCCACTGGCTAGCTGATGGATTCTTTATTTCACTGCTTAAGATTTTACTCGTCCAACGTCTAATAGTCCTCTTGTAATAGAAGAAGCTGAAATGCTGCTAAGAGGGAGAGAGAGAGAGATTAAATTAAGATTCCTTAAGCAAACCGTCATTGGCAAGTTGCTCTACATAAACATTGTCGAAAATATTCATCTCATAAAAGCCGGCACGACTGGATGTATCATTGGTAACAAGAATAATATTACTATTCTCTTTCAAGAATAACGATGTACTTCTTGTCCTGAAATTTTTAATTGTAATTAATGCAATAAAATTTTGCGCTACCAATAAAAAATGTGTTCTGCAATTTTCTAGCAAATTTCTTTGTTGCAATTAATTTTGAACTAATATATCTGAATAAACATAAGTTGTAGAGATGCTTCAGATAAAAACTTTAGGTTGTCAATTTCTAGATTCATTTCCTAATCTCTGAAATAATTTTCTAATAACTCACCTGGTGACAAGACACTAAGTCTTTCGAATTTATCAGGACCTTAGCCTATTTTGGTTCGTCAATAAAATCCATAACTACTAAATGCAAGATCGAGACTGTTTTAAATGTTATGGCGTAAAAATTTTTACAAATGTTAGGCGTATTTGACGATCATCTACAGTAGATTTAACTAACTTTTAAATATTGCTATCTGATTATTAACAATGAAGAAAACTAGGCAAAGGTTGTAAGTCAGATATTGTAAGAAATTAACCTGATAAACTTTATATGAGACTCACTGTTGAAGTATGTGATTTTTTCAAGCATGTTATCCGATAAGGCACAGAAAAAGCTGATGCCTTTGTCGAATAGTATCAAATTGGTGCATCTTTTTTGATGTTCATAAATGAATAAAAGCTTGGTGACATCATCTGGATTACAGTAGAATAGTTTGCCTACAAAATGCCACATTAATTTTCATATTCTTCTATCATAATTAAGAATGGATGTATCCATTAATAAAATGACAATGATATTAATGCGTCAATGTAGTTGTAGTAGTATTAATGAAATCAGAAAGGATATGCTTGGATATATAAAACATTTGAAATGCGATAACTGATTTGCAAATGATTTAATGAATAGTGGCACAGATTCATGTTTATGGAACCAGTTATTAATAACTATGGCGGCTTAATAATATATAATTGTAGATACTTCTGCACCCATAAATTAGAAAAAATTATTTCTCTGAAAATGTTGCAGCGTTAGCAACAGACGTACTAAAATCTTTCAACGATTTAGAACATTTTCAGTCAGCTACAAACCACTAAATTTCCAATCGCAACTAACAGCAACTGCGAAGTGCGCTTGACGCAAAAAGAGCACAATTAGCTGTCTACTTTGCAAAATATGGACATTGACACCATAGCAAACTTTTCTTCTATCTGAATCAATCAGTTTTAATTCCTCCAGAAAATTTGAATTTGGTATCTGCAAAGTAGCGAAAAAGATCAGACAAGAAAGAAGTACAGAAAACTTGTATTATGAGATTTAGAATATTACTTTACTTGTGATGCCAACATCATAACCTATTAACAGAACTGTCAATCATTTCAAATCTCACTACAGAATCGGGCACTATGAATACTGTGCAAGCACTCGTGACTCCCACAATGCTGGAGCTATCATTGCTTGCATGGAAATAATTAACATCGAGATAATTTCTAATATTGCAATCCCTTGCTTGAATAATAATAAGTAAGTGTAACATTATTACAACAAATAAACATTCGAAGTTTAGTTTTTCCTGGAATTTACACAATAATTATTGTTATTTTGTGATCTGAATAACACAAATATTTGCAGCTGAGCTTGAAATTGCAAAATTTCCATATAAGCAACATGTATATTTACATTCTAATAGGTACTGTCATTTCATTCAAAAAATGCAACGAAACATCCAACCCTTCTGCAGTACATCTAAGCACACCACACTTTCTTTAAATAACAAATGCAAAATTTTGGAACTCTTTCGATACTTATATTTCAGAAATCAATCCAAAAAATTTGCAGAGAATATGCAAAACACTTCCAAATCTCATATGCAAACAATGAGGCGTGCATTACTATCCAAATTTTCATAAAATATAGTTTAAAAATTTCTAATTTATCAATGCTGATATAAATTTTGGTAAGTTAAACACTAAATATATGGAGGAAAAAACAAAACTTCAAAATGTTTCCGATGAAATTGATTCGGATGGACGCGTAAAATAGTAAAGTTTGTTGTTGTAGTACTGCGATTGGTTCTAATCTATTACAGTAAAATGAATGCAATGTTATATCATATAATATACCTTTTCATTTCTTCTCCCAAAATGATACTGTAAAAGGTATTTAAAATGATTATAGAATTTTTAGCTAAAAATCTCAATTCTGTGTTCATGTGTCAATCAGTGCGAGTGAAATTCATGGTCCTTGCAGAAATTTAAAAAAATGAACAAGAATAGAAAGCGATGAATAAACTTATCAATGAGTACTGTTAGCAAAATTGAATAAGTCATCAAATGAATCAGGAAGGAGAAGAGAACCAGAAATAAGTGAAGTCGTATTGTGATTGAAATGAACAAAGGAATTAATTTGCTAGTGTTAATGAGAGCTTAATTAGATTTAGAGATCTATGCTCATCTATTATTAAAGCAGAATAGTTGAAGAAAAGAGCTTCCTATTTCTGTCTCTACACTTTGCAAGAACGGAAAACAGCAGAAACCAACACTGACTCAATCGAGAAAGTTAAGATCCGTCATCACATTTTAGCTTCTATCTCGTGCTCAATAAAGAATGCCAAAAGAAAATCCGAAATGGTATAAAACATGATGAGAATACTGAAAATAAAGAGGATATTTTTAAAATTGCAAAATGAGAAAATAAAAAAAAAAAACTTGTATAAATATTCCAACGAAATATTATATTTATGCAGCAACATTAATGCACTTAATTGATGCATCTGCAATCATAACGTGGAATCGTCGTAGCCAAGTTGACGCTATTTATAAGCAATTAAGTGTTGTTAGTTTTGCAATTTTTAAATTTCAGTCAGTATTAGAGTAAAATGAGTGTTTCAGACCAAAAATTACTGTTAACAAAACGAAAATGCATATCACATATCAGTCATTTTTCTCTGCATGAAATGAGTTATCATCCCTCTTCGTCATCAATTTTAAAAATATTGTGAGCTATGATCGACTGCAGTACTGACCACAAAATACTCTGCAATCATTTATATTTGAGTAACAAAACTATGGCCACACTTTCATCCTTAGCAGCATTTTCTAATTCGCTCAGATATGCAAAAATAATGATCTTTAGAAAAAATGAACAAAAATTCACAACAACAGGTTAACGTTCAATTGTCAGCTCTTATTTTACGGCATTTAAAGTTTTTCACCAATCCTTCTCGATTGGTATTTCAAGTAGATAGATTGTCTTATTTATATTCATTCTTATATCATTTGCCGTGTTTTATATGAGAAAATGTTCCATGTTAATTCTCTAAATACACTTTAATCCTAACACGGGCAAACACCCCAAATTCTTTAAATTGCACTGACAGGTCCGAAATGATAAACTGTCTATTATTTGTCATTATTTGGTATTCAAAGGCAAAGAATCACAACTTTCTTTGCCTACACAATAGCTTTTTCATTTCAGACTTCTATTATAGACTGAAAAAGTCGACAAGAAAAAGAGAACTTCCTTGCTAGCAAATACCAGTTATCAGGTTGTCTTCAATAAAATACTACCATTTAATTTATCTTTATAAATTACCGCATTCCTCAAAGTTTAAAATGGAAATAACGGCTAGCCATATATATATATATATATATCACTTGTCACTCTGCACATTTCTTACTACTAATATTATAATTTTCGTCAAAACAACTTATCACTTTTAAAACCCTTTTTCTTCACTTTCATGATGAGCTTTGTGTTTTGCTTGTGTCAATAGATGTCACTTCGGACGATATTTCCGTACTTTTAAAACTATCACTAATCTTATTTGTGAAACATTTCATATCTTTGAACATGCGCTGCAGAAATTTGTTTTCATAGCTTATTTGCGAATAACGCTTCATTATTCGATTTTCCAATGCATCGATCTTCAATTATAAATTAATTTTATCTTTGTGTAAGCTTCAAACAATTTTCAGAAATTTACAGTAAAAAAGAAAGACCAAAAGGAACTTTCATTCGCTAAATAATTGCTGTTAATTTATAAATATGAATAATAAAGTCCAATAACCAATACCTCTTGAAGCTCTGTTTCATTGCGTGCAATCCAGTTTAACAAACTACGTTTTAATCGTTTTGCATACCATCGTTGATTATCCTGAATTTCAAAAATTGGTCCTCATGTTAATTTTATAAATAAATTGCATATTTCGCTAAAGAATGACTACATGAGTATATTCTTTTTATCGATACAATGCATTAAAAAAAAAAATTTGCTTTTATATTCTATTATCAAAACAATAAATAGCAGTACTTTATCTGTGATAATTTGGAAGTTCATTTCATTGCTAGCCAAAGATTCAATATAATCAATAAGATCATCGAGCAGATATTGCTCGTGATTAATTCGAGCAGCAGTCAATGAGTCCTCTGGGATCTGCAGATATTTCAAATCTCATTTTGATAGAAATTATTTAAATAACTTAGACATTTCATATTTTTCCATCTACCAACCAATAAATAATTGACAAGCAATAATCAACCATCTGATCACATTAAATCAACCAGTCTGAGATTTACAGCAGTAATAAAAAGGTCGGATAACGAAGAAACGAAATCAACCACCGCATGCTTGGAAAGAGTTTATCAAAAGTTATTCGAGTAAAGATGAGTTTCGAGTCTTAAACTACACTGCAAAACAACAATGATCAGCAACTTTGACGCATCGAAAATTGAAGGGATTTTATTTTTTGTGATAAATTGTTACATTTAATAGTTCGTTTGTTCGAATTCTACAACTGGATAATTCTCCTTCCGACTTTTTAATACGAGCTGCAATGAGCAGTTTTAAATTTTCGTCTGATCAATGTATGGGGAATATTTATTAACGTCAGTTTTTCGTTTCACTTTCAATTATCTCTCTTATTTCTTCAAAATACCTTCTAGTTCGGAGAACTTATAGTTCAATCTATAAAGTATTTGGCTCGAGATTTCTAAGCACCTACCTAAAATTTGCTTTAAAATACAGTCACGCGTTGTATCTTCCGGGAAAGTTTCATGTGATGTCGATGGTCTAAGTCTACCACCCAGATTGAAATGCACTCGAGCATGACGTCGTCCTAGCATCCGAGCCCGACCTCGTACATTTTGCATTTTTTAGTTCTGATATATAGATTGATGATTTAACGGAGTAATATAGGTAAACTTGAAAACCATAATAAAAACAGCTAATAAAGCCAACAGTGAGTAAATTTAGAATTTAAACCGTCCGATTGACATCAACCAGTGCTATAACACAAGTCTCACCAAATGTAGCCGTCTGCTACGAATCATAACGTCAGAAATAAACATCGCCGTTAAACTTTTACTGTTAAAAACAATTCTCAGCTTGCATAATCTATACGTCATAACCGACTTTTGTGTATTTATCATCTTACTATTGTTCACCTGATCTTCACATCTTTGTGTTTACAGGTGATTTGCAGACAAAGAATTCCCTCAACTGACCTTTCACTCTCCTCATTAGTGGCTAATTCCGACTTAGAGAAAAGTCGGTGAAGAGAATGAGAAATTTTCATGTTGTCACCGCGTTTCTATTAGTTACGTTCGGTTTACTCGTGAGTGAGCGTTGAGCTATTTTACTAATTGCGAGTGTTTAATTGTGTTGCTTGTTGGAGTAGAATGATTTCAGCAGTGTTCGTTACAGCGATTTTTTGCTAGAACAGTAAGGATGAAATGTGTGGAGGGAAGACTGGCTGAATACCGAAGAAAAGGAGATGGTAACAGTAAGGTTATTAGGTTTTTATTATCAACAACAAAGTTCTTGTAATTTCTTGTAATTGTTTTAAGGAATTAAGACTTAATTTGGTTAAGTTGTTAGTCTGTAATAAGAAAAGTCAAATAAAATTAACTGTGTTATTTATTAATTTTTGTTAGTTGATGCAATTAGAACTATTTTGATATGTAGCAGCAAAAGTTTCACGTAGTTTCTTTGAAAAGAGGTAATTATAGATTTTCAGAGCAGTACAATTCATTTAAATATCAATCTGAATACATTTTATGGTAAGAAGTGTCCGTACAGTTTTCGTTATTTTGGGAGAAATTATGGGAACTTTAATTTCACTGAATTTCAGGTTCCAAATCGCGATGCGATTCATGAAAAGCAGTTTAGGAGTAGTGAGAACGTATCCATTCAGTTCATTGCTATCAATAATTTTATAAATATTCTGCTAAAACCAGTCCGGCTGTGGTCGTGCTTCTATTATCATTATCCACATTCATGCATAGTTTTTGCAGTTCTGTCGTGGCTTTTAGCGCAGTGGTGTTTCACTTACATTGAATTTGGTCTTGTGTTTTTTCTTTTTTCGCTGTTTGTTTTCTTATTTATCAATTTAGGAAAACGAAAATCGGGAGAATTGAGCGCCTATTCTATATTTAATCCTCACTGCGAACGACTGCCTGGTACACTGACAGCTGAACATTTTGAAAGAGATTTGTTGAAGAGGAAAATATTGCGTGTATAGTTTCTTTTAAATAGAGTTGGAATTTCAGAAGAGATTAATATAATCTTGAGATCTTAGCTACACTGATTGGGGTATTTATCCGTATCAAACTTTTTAATGCGTCAGCTTATAATTTTCCATTATCACTTTTTTCTTTTTTGATTATACTTACTGAAGTTATATAAGAATATGTACATGGTCTTGTTCTACTCACATTTTTGTTCTTTATTACTACTCTGATTGATTCTATTTTTCTGTTATGTACGAATTCAGTATTTTTATCCAAGTTGATATAAGATTTTTTCGAAAGAACATTACCAAATGTTCAAGTAGAATGAATGTTTGTTTGGAAAAAATTCTGTTTATTTAAATGAGTTAAAAGCAGTGAAACATGTTAAATACATATCCGAATGCAGTGGCTGATTGTTATAGTTTAAGGTTTGTTATATTTACTGCTTTACCGAAAAGAAGCATGGCGATTTAAAGATTGTTTTGCTTTGCTTGTTTATATATATTTTAACAATGTAAGAGGAGACTATTTGTCATGTATAAGTTCCAAGCTTGTGATTACTTTTTAATTTACTTTTCAAATAAAATATTTTGACTTTTCTGGAACCTTTCGTTTGCTGTTTTATCTAGTTTGCTGCTTATCTCTTAAACATGTAATGTTGTAGTTTCTTTATCTTAGGGACGGTTTTGATATTATCAAACTGAGAAAGTGTGTTGAAATCGTATTCTGTATAAGAATTATTAACATTACAAGCCATTTGGGTCCTTTCATTTTCTGAATTTACTAATGCAGACAGTGCTGTATTTCGGTCCACTTCTGTTTCCATGGTATTATTGTGACAAGCAGCACTTTAGTTTTACTTTGCAGAAGCACACGACCTAATATATAGGAATTATTATTGTATGTATTATATGAAACTTTGGGCTTTTGGTCGAGATGATGGAACATTCAAATTCATTGCTTTTAAATGAAGAGGCACTGAGTTCTTGTACAGATTCCAAAAAACCTGTTTTTGTGTATGAATGGTTACGATATCTTGATCGCATATTGCCCGTTACACAAAAGGTTTTTTGCGTCACATATATACATATTTCTGTTAAGAGATGAATTTATCATCAAATATCTTTTTATATTAAATATTAAATTTCTAATATTTTGACAATGATTCTCTGTTTAGATATTAATGTGATTTCAGGCTGATATAAAATCTATACAGAAGAAGCTGATTGAGCAGTTGACGACACGAATTTTAGCTGCACCGGGGCCGCTTATCAGAGAATTGCTGGCAAAATGTATCGCACAGGTATTCATTTTATATCTCTTACTCAAAAATATCTGTTTAGAGTGTGTACTTTAAATTTATATAATTTATATAGATTTATTTTTTGGAAAAGTTACATAAAGATTCTTTTTTCAGGTATACTCAGTTGGAGATACATATAGTCTTTTTGAAACAATAAACACCTGCAACGATATCCTAAAAGGGCGAGATGATTCGCCAACACATCTCCCAGTCAAATTGTTATTTTTTGAATTATAATGTTACGAACGTAAAACAATTGTTTCGGGTTGTGTATGCAGTGGTTTTTCGTAGTTACATAGTATCAGGTTCAAAAATTTCAAACACATCTGAGAAAATCAAATGTATTCTGAGTTCTGCAGTAGAAGAGGTAGTGTCGTTTTATTATAAATAGTGTGAAAATAAATATTTTTAGGGCTGCTTTGCATTGCTTAGGAGCAATGTATGAAACACTGGGTAGATTGGTAGGTCGGAGTTATGAAGAATCTTTCCATCATATGGCGAAGTGGCTGAAAAATGCAGAGGTTAAAGTTTATTTATGGTTATACCACTAAAACAACACGACGAAGGGTCAGGCGTGGCCAATTGGATTGGTTTGCGTCCGATTATTAGTAAAGAGTTCGACATCCATACAGAATCGAGTTTTTAATTGTAGTTTCTGTTCATAACCTGTGAGGAAAAACACGACGGTCTTCCGAAAGACACTTGAGGAAACCTAAATGTATTCTGAGGTTATGTACGTCAAATAATCATCATGATATAAATGTTATGTGAACGCTCTAGTATAAGGGAAATAACGTTATACTATAATTATGAACTAGTGGCTTGAGTAAAATGTGCTGTTTAAGTTTTTCAAGAACGATATGATGAGAAAAAGAATTTCAAGAATTTGTGAGAAAAAGCTTTTAGTCACAAGGACGCGCTGAACTATTATATACATTTGCTAAAATGGTGAAAGGCCTGGGGATTGCTGCATCTTCCATTCACAAAGATTTGTATAAAATTCTGAAAACTCAAATATCAGATCGAGTCATGATAGTGAGAACGGCTGCAGTTAATGTTAGCTTTATATTTTTATATTAGTTATTTTCTGATTGCTTAACTATTATGACTGTTAAATATATTGATTAATCTCAAATTGTTTTATATTTTTCATCAAAAGAGAACAAAATATTTGGTGCCGTTTTTTATTGTGATTTAATTTATCTCCAAATATGGACATACCAGTTTTGGATTGCATTTCGATGCAGTTATCGCAGAAAATATATTTAATATTTTTTTTTTGCAATCCAGCCGTTTCCATCGAGATATTTTCGTAATTTTAGTGTCTTATTGTATTGATCCTGGAGTATCCATTTTTATACACGAATGAAGTGGAAAATGTTTGTTCATTATGTTTCAAAGCTCTTGAATCGAGTAATTATGAAGTACGTCACGCAGTGGCACAATTATTCGCTGCATTATTATGTAATGCTATGAATCCTCCAAGGCGGTATATATCTGGTGATTCGTTTATATTTGAAATTGAGGATGAAAATTATGTGTCAACTTCTTTAAATCTTGTTAAATTTGTTTGTTCAGTATTAGGTGTTATAGAAATTATTTGCAGTTCCGGGCAATAAAAATCAGCACAATGCTTCTTCCCTGAAGGTGTTAGCAATTGAGGATTGTTTCGGTATGCTGTCACATGGTTTTTTAAAAGGTGGGATTGGTGGCTTTTTAAAAACTGGTGCCGTCGCAGTTACCGGTGGACAGAAAGAAATACGCATTGGAGTTGCACTTGTATGTTAATATAATTTTTCTAGGAAGAACAGTCTGAAATTTCAAGTTTGGATTGGACTTTACTTTTTTAAATTTTTTAACAGAGATTTTAGGCTTATGTTGCGTTACTGAGAGAACTTGGCCCACTATGGTTGGAAAAAAATCTTGTATTTGTTATCAAACATTTGATGGATGTCATTGCAAAATGTGGGCCATTAGCCTATACTAAGTGAGTTTTTATTGATTATTTGATCATCAAAATAGTTATATATTTCCCTTCAAGTATTTTATTTATGTGCAAATCTTTTGCCTAAGGATTTTAAAAAATGATGGGAGGACTTTAAACATAACTTCATTTCTTTTTGCTTTCAGCAACCCTACCCAAACTGCTGAACTGATTTATATGCGACGATGTATTAGTTACATATTACGGAGTACCGTTGGCATAGTGTTGGGTGAGCAGGCACAGATTGCAGTTTGCCGACAGCTGGGCGCTGTTTTAGCCGATTGTATTAGTTCTTTTAGTAAGTAGTTGCTTTAGCTTTAATCTCAGACAAATTTACAGTCTTTTAGTAACTGT